ACTGCAGAAGACAGATCCATGAATATTAAAGTAATTGCAGAAATAAAATTTTTTTGAGATGTTATGTAACATTGTTCTTGACGAATGTGCGAATAAGAAGAAGATGGAACGTAAACTCTACGTAATCTGCCCTATTTAAAAAAAAAGAAAATCAACTAGCCTTTCGGATGTCCACATGAATAATTTTCCACAGCGATTACTCGTAATGGTGTACCATGATACGCGCGTTTGTTTAGTGGTCTTGCTATTAGCGTTGCTGTTGTGTTCACCCTCGAGTTTATTCGTGGTCTTGCCAGGCAGAAAGGTCGATTGTGGTGTGTGCCGCTCTTGCACGGGCTGTTTAATTAATCTACCACCTACAAAATTCCTCGCGACCGACCTGCTCGTTTTCCCTCTGCTGCGGGCTCGTAAAACCTCGTCACGTGCCGCTCGTCAAAAGTTTTTAATTCACACGCCATGCTGATATCGAACGTGTCGCGGCGCAAAATATGCGACCTTACTAACGGAACCGGACATTTAGAGCGATTCGCGCCATAATTTCCTTGATTAAGCCGAGATACGTGGCGGATTGCCAAGAAGGGCGGTGTTATATCTCGACCTCCCCTGTCCATTCCCCCGAGGGTGGTCGACGAGTGTCCGTTCGCTCGTAAATAACATCGCGAATTAAGCGTGTAATTTCCACGCGAGTTACGAGCGGACCCCGCAGGTCCTCCTCCCCCCTCCCCCCCCCTCTCTCTCTCTCTCCGCGATTCTTTTATTACTGTAAAAACGTGCGTTCCAAAAAATTTACAATCGCTCGACGTGCGACGCGGCAAACCGTGAAATGCGCTGCTCGCAACCGAATATAATACATTGAAAGCTCCGCTGGGAAAATCAGTCAATATTACAACTGAAATTAGTCATTTCATGAAAAGCATTTCAAATACAGTTGAATAAATAAATGACTTTTAAGTATAGAGGTACAAATACAAATATCACGAACAATTAGGTAAAATAGCGATATAAATTAATAAAAATTTAAATTAATATAAATTAATAAAATTCATTTTGAAGGTAAAAGATAGCACTTTAAGATAGTAATTAAAATTGACAAAACAAAATTTTCTTAATCACAATACCATTTTAAACATGGTCAAAATCATTTATTTTTAAATCGTCTTGAATAGAATAAGGTTTTTTAAATTTTTATTGCATATCTTTGAATGCATTTATGTACTTGACATATTTTTGTATGATCTTTTTTTATAGTTTTGTTTTATTTTTTAATACTTTTTATTTTTTTTACATTTTATTAACTAAATTTGATTTACTGTTTTAAATTTAAACATATTTAGCAAAAATTTTTCTTTTAAAAATAATTTTAATAAATAAAAATCAATAAAACTCCATTTTAATTTACTTCGTGTAGAATGCTAATAATATAAACAAGTACAATTTTCAGTACTACTTTCATTTTTCAATATATCACAAAAATATTCAATAAGAATTCTATATTTATATACGTACTTTTATATATAATATAATCAAAATTTGATAATATAATTACTTAATCTTCCAATAATTACTGAACTTATATATTATGCGATTTATATATACATTGTTATATTAGGACAAATTGTTTCAGAATTAGCAAATACTTTTACATTCATGGATTTATTTGAAGAATATATATTATTATTTTTATTTAATTATAAATTATCAAATAAAGCAATGAAAATTGAGATACAATATTTGGGTGTAAAATACACTTTGCGAGTAATGCAAATAGGTTTACAATATGAACTGTGGAAATCGATAAAAAGTCATATTTTTAGTGTACGCAGTTTAATATTCCATTCATATCGGCATTTTGTGCCTCGCTTTTAAGATATTAAATGTCAATGACAACGGTAAATATGGGGATTTCGGCGATATTTCATTGGAGGTTTTGAATACATGTATGAGACCCAGTACGCATCTGTTCCTCCTGATTGATGAAATAGATTGCGCCTTTGTGACACGCACCTGCGTCTACCACATTCGTTCACGTTCTATTTTAGATTTTCCTTAGGCACATATTGCGAAGTATAGAAGATACATTACTTTCAGAATGGGCTTTTCGCTTGCTTCGTAATCTTACGACTGCCAGCTCGTGATAAAATACCATAATATTTCCATTCTGCTTGTGTACACGTAAAAAAGCCTACTTAAAAATTTACTGATTTATATAAAATTAATTTTTGGATTCATTTTGTATTTACTTTTGTATTTATTTCAAAATGAATGACACAATTGCTCTTTTACTTACCATTATATATTGCAAAGTAATTAATCTTTCATTAGTTATACCTTTAATGTATTTAAATGTTTAATCAGTTAAATATTTTGAAATAATCAATTCTAAATTTTATTTTAAAATACGTTAAAATGTACATCGCTATATACAAAAATACATTTTTTCTTCTAGATTATATTATACTAAATACCATATATAATAGCATATATTCCATAAACCTTTTAATGTGATAATACAAACGTTTTATAAATGCAAGTTATCAAAGTTTCAGCTCTTTTTTTACGCGCTTATCAAGTTTTTTCCACGATAAATTTTTATTGTGTAAAATGTTGAGAAAAAAAATTTTTTTTCGTTGGAAGCTCTCAAGCCGCTAATGAGACAGACTGCTTAATTGTGCCTGCGTTAATTACAGAAATATCTCGCCGGGGTCAGTCATGTTTTATTACGCATTCCACATCGCGTAAAGAATGCACAGTAACATTTGATATCATTTTGCTGGTAGTTATTATAATTTCACGAGGTTTAAAATGTATTTATTACGAAGAAACACAAGATGTATATTAGCGCAATTATCTCTTCGTATAGCCAATATCGCTGTATGGCTGTGAAAAAGAGGAACCAAAAGATATTTGCGTTGTTCTCGTTGTTAAAAAAACCACTGGAATGTTTATTTTAAAAGAGTTCTGATGTATAAGGTAATTTATTCGTCAAAGTGTCCCGCTCCATAAACTTCCTCGTTCGTCCAGTCTCTTTTCGGTCTCTCCGAGAAAGGAAAATTGTAAATAATTAAATCAAGCATAAAACTTAGAGGTTGAGCTCGCCCGATGCAGAAAAAGTGCATAAAATTCCAAAACACACAACGTGATGCTACACGTCAGCTTAGCAAGCAGTCCCTGCTCGTTAAAACGGCACGACGAGCTGCGACCTCGTGGATCTCCTCTGTAGCCGCTTTTTTTCCCTCTCTGTCGATGCCATTTATTGCGCGCAACAGCGTTGATAGTGCGCGAAAACAATCCTTTTGAACGGGTTGGCAAAACATTCCGCTTGTCGATGGATGTTACGCGACTGCGACGAGCCGTGCGCGCACGCGTTACGCGAATTCGGCGTCGTTGAACCCAAATAAAAAACGTCCGAAAGCTTTTGTGCGATATTTGCTGGGTACTATAATTGCCTTAAAGGTTTACACGGTTTGCTCGCGCTCTGCATACGTATCCTGGCCATCCGAGACAGGATTGACAATTTTTAACTGATTTCATAATTAACTTGAAAGTGTTCTTTTTTTCGCGTGGCATTGTATTTTCTCTGTTCGCAGAAATTATTTCAATTAGTCCTACTTTATTAAAAGATTAATTTTTTATTTATATTTTTTTGAAATTTGATGTTGGAAAAGAAAAAGAGAAAGGTAAGAAAAAAAGAAAAAGAATTTATAGATTTCTTCTATCTGCAGATATCGATGGTGGTGCGTATTTGATAATTATTATGTAAAATTATATTCTCATTGGCCATGGTTAAACTCAGACAAACACATAAAATAAAATTGACAAAAACAGCGTGGATACCTTAATCCTTAAATCCCTATAAAACCTATTACTCAACAGAGAAACTTTGAAAACTACTTTAGCGAAGGAAAACACGTTTTTTTACTGTAGCCATCAATTCCGGAAACTATGGTCGTCTGTCCCAAAATTACCCTATTATTTCACTGTACTTGAAGAGACTGGCTCCGAATGGCGTGATAAAGTCTCATCTGGGTCTCTCCTTCTTTCCAAGATCAGCTTTAAAATCTATTAAAGAAATCGTCGGTTGACGCATGTCGCAATCCTCGTAAGTCGTTTCACGCGTCGTTCGTTCGCACCTGCTCGAGCGGAAGAGAAAGAGCATCGAACGACATGATTCACTTGACGGCGCGGCGCAACTGCATCCTGCATCTCGCGGCGATAATCGGCCGTGTCCCGTCCGACGCGACGCCGACGCCTAGTCGCATCCCCCATACTTTCCATTTTTTTATGACGCTCCACAGCCCGCTGGAGGCGCCTACCGCAGAGCGCGGGAATGCGAAAGAGGGGAGGGAAGTTGGGGGTCCGACCTCAGGGGCGAACGAGTGCGCGAGAGGTCGCTGGTATTTCCAATTTCACAGAGCGTGGGTTAACGAGGCCCACGAGGGGTGGAGAGAAGTTAGGGCAACCACCCTGCGTAACTTCCCTACCCGTCGCCAAAACTGACGCCAACGTCGAGCATCGGCGAGCGCTCTCGTTCCCGGTGCACCCCTTTAAACGCGGCCACCTCGGTGTACCCCGCACGACGCCGACGGGGGGTTCCGGCACATTACCTCCGCTGATTACCAAGCCCGCCCCGCGGAGTATGTCACCCAGTCACCCTTGAGACACATACCTTCCGGGATACAGAGACCCTTCCGCAGGTATATCTGTCGGGCCAGGCCCGAGAAAGTAGAAATGAGAGTAAACTTGGATTCTCGACTGTTCTGATACATTCTTACATCGTAAGCGCGCGAATTTAATCATTACAAACTTGAAATGGGAATATAATATTTAATATTTAATATTTTTATTTGCGCGCCAAGATGACAGCAGAATAAGAGATGAATGAACGAATAATTATTTTATTAAATTTCTTTCGGAAACTATTTTTGTGTTTAAAATGTATAATATATTGTATATGCAACGCACGATAGCAATATTAAATTATAAACATTTTTGTGTCGCAGGGCAGCTCAAAAACTGAATTTGTCGTCGAGTCCGCATCGTAGACGACGTTCCGGCGATGAAAACATCGGATCTGACGAGTTGCCTATTTTTCCCAATGGATATGCTGCGCTCCTTCTCAAGTCACCACCTCCGGCACCTCCCGCCCTTCTCAGGAGGATAGGCGTAAAGGAGCTCACCGGGGTCGGCAAGGTAAGCCCTTATCGATATCGCAGCCTCGGGCGCAGACGACGAAGTTTCAGTCGCTACTTCGGAAAATCCCGACCATGAATTTCCCCAGCCGATCGCTTCCATCACAGCAACGGCAAAATCCATGTAGACATTTTCGCTTGGACATTTAACTTTATGTATATGTATATATATATTTTTTTTTGTTATATAATTGCATTTTTAAATAACATAAAAATTCAACATAAAAGATTGAGATTTCCTTAAAATTATAGAAAATTCTGCATAAAATAAAATAATACAATTTCTTAAAATTGCAAAGAAAATTCTTTAGAAAATGATACAATGTTATTTATAGATATATTATTTTAGAAAAATGATCTAAGGAATGCTAAACAAAATTAGTTAACTATAAAAATCGCCCGACAAGCCGAATTTAAAAGTCCCACACTTTTTGCGGTTATATAGAACAAGTCGCTTTTGTTTGAATTAATCAATCAAGTACACAGACGTAGCGTGTACACATCGCATGCTAATGGCGTCTGCACCTCGATAGGATTTCCGCGTAGTTTAATCGGGACAGAAGAGCCCGCAGCAGACTTTCGCCTAGCCGTCTGATCCGGAAGTACGGTCGACTTCCGCTCGTTTCGTTTGCGCGGCGCTTACCGTAAATCCGCGGCCGCTCAATTCTGCTACGAAAGGGGAAGAACGTGGGGCCCTGCAGCTATCCAACGGAATTTCCGTCTTATGTGCACGCTATCCCTCGACGTGCGTGTATGCGGGCGAAAACAATCATGGAGCGACGCATCTTTGATATATACGAGCGTACATGCAACACGCGCGCGTCCGTCAGCCAAGTGAGAATGCACGTTGCAAGTGCATTTGCATAATGTATGGCAGTAACGTTGGCTAAAAATTTAATTTAGACAGTGCAATAACGATCTTATATTGCGCTTTTTAATAATATACATATTCTTTATTTATTTATTCTAATATGAAATTGAATTATATTGTGAAATACTAGTTTTTCATAATATAATGTAATCGGTCCTTGTACACTGAGAGAAAAATTTTTGTTATTACAACTATAATTACATTTTACTGTAATTATGATTATTACTGTTATAGTACTATATATATGCTATAAAATTACATGTATTATAGTTATATCAGATTACTTTTGATGATATTATTGTATTATGATAGTAATAACTGTAATCATATTCATTTTGGGTTGCCAACTGCGGACATCCTGTGTATTTGTTAACAGAATTATACATATACGTAAGAAATTATGTGTGATACTAACATTATAGTAGTAATAATCGTAATTATGGTATCACGTAATTATATGTATAGTCATAGATATTACAATTTTCTTCTCAGTGTATAAATATTATTGAATCGCGTACAAACTATCGATTGAACGTAGATTGGTAACTTTGAATCATAAACATGTATCTCCTGCACTTTATCCATTAGTTTTAACATCGCGCAATCGTTCGAGTGGACGATGCTGTACACGTTTGAATAGACGTTCGCAGAAAGGTGTGCGCGCGTACAAATCTTCGTGCGGGCGTGCGATTTGAAATGCAGATGAGCGTCTCGCGCTGCTATAAGCCGCCTGAGTGCCACCGTCATCCCGCGCACACCGAAACTACAACCCTTTCGCCGTTTCCATTCTCCGTTCGTCGGTGAGGGAGATAGAAAGGGAAAGGAAGGAGAGCAGGCGTCGAATATCCGGTTTAAACTATCAAACTGGATATCCGCAACGGAAGCTCTCGGAAGCGGTCCCAAGTTCGCCAAATGCATTCGAAACGCGAATAGAGATGGTGAAGATAGAGATTGGGCGGAGCGAATCGGGCTATTTGAGAGCTCTCTCGACTTTCAATCGTGCTTGCAGACTTGCGCCAATATTGCCAGTACGTCTCTGGTGTCCATAGACACTTTATCTGTATGCAACTCCTGTAAATTAACATCTATATCTATGTTAATTACGATTGGAACGAAAGTCCGTAGCGCTACTTCATTTGTATCTTGTCTACATGTTTAAAAAAAAATTGGTTCTTATACTATTTGATAAAGAAAAATTTCAGCTTTAAGTTTTTTGAATTATACGATGATTTTTAACGGAGTTATGAGCAATCAAAGTCAAAATGTTCCTTTATTTAATTCGCGATAATTCAGTGACAACGAATATTAGAATTATTAAAAAAAAAACGGTTTTATCGAGGAACCTTTAAGCTTTCGTACCAAAAAGTAAAAAATTTCCACGAGTTCTTTTTTGGGTACGCAACAGGCCCACAAAGTGAAAATTTCTTATTTCATCCAGCTTTAGTTTTCTATATATATTGAAATATTATTAAACTCACAAAAATTCAAAAAATACAGACTTTTCAAAAATAGATATTTTAAGCTTTAAAAATCTTTTTTTTTTTATTAAAATTTTGTTTATTTTTGGCGAAATTATAACTGTTTGAATTTTATAATTTGTAATGCTATGAACTTTTGTTCCAATATTATATGTTTCACAATAAATAGTTACATAAATTATCTGAAATTTTAAGCAAATACGACAAGAAATAGATTACCTCGTAAAACATACAGGGATAAGATGAGAGAGTTGAAATCTCTTTTTGCAAAACGTATTTTATACATGTGTGTGATATATGTAAAACTATGAATAATCCTTTAAGCAGCTTTTAAATGTTTAATATTATTGTTCAATTATTTTGTACAATATTAACGCCCCCTTTAAATAATTAAAAATAAACATCTGTGAATAGCTCAATATACGACGATCAATAATATTATGCGATAATGTTATTTATACAGGGACCACTTTAAAAGATTCAATTACATATTGTTTGCTGGTTCATTCAATTTCATTGCACGCGACAAATTATAAAAGATACGGTACGGCGATGGTTTCGTATTAAGTTTGTGCGCGTAGCGAGACAGATCGAGTTTGATCAGTATGTTGATGAAGTCGGACGAAACGAACCGAGCTTCCCATGTAATCTCCAGGATATACGAACGCATGCTTAAATATTTGCGCGGTGGATAACGACGATGATAACATAGTGACGACAAGCGATTTGGTCGGTTTAAACGTGACTGTTCTTCGCCTGTATTTTCTAACGCGAGAAATATGTTCTGCAAGTATGCCGAGCAAGAGGACGCAATATGAACATCAGGAAATTTCTCCACGGTACTTAATTATAATAGAGTTTTACGGGACATATAAGAGATCCGCATTAAACTTTAGAAGCGTCTTTGCAAATTTGAAATCAGTTTTCCTTTTGCGAAAAGTTGAATCAAGATACAACTAAATAGTTACCTAAAAATTAAAAGTATTTACTTTATATATACATATTTACGTTACAGGCAAAGTAGTGGGCAGTGCCCGAGTTGCCTGCTCTACAATAGTTGCTTTCCATTTACACCGATTCTCAGATAATTTTCACTTGTGACGTCATAATTCAGTTGGATGTGCGTTCCTTTTGCATTCTGACAAGTGAGATTCAACTGAGTTTTTACCCATAACTGCACGAGATCAATCCCATGTGCTTTAATGAGTCTCGTAAACACACTTCAAAGTGACGTTATGAACCTGTGTTGACATGTGATAATTTTTTACCAAAGTAAGCAAATAGTGATGTCATTAATCTGAGTATAAAATACTCAGTTCACTTCAGACTCAAGTTTTCACTTGTATGTAAATGGAAAGCAACTAATGTCAGCATTGCCCACTTGCGAACTTTACTTGTAACATATATATATAATAAATTTAAGAGATATACTTTTTTTATTTTTATATATTATGTATATAATATTTATTATACAGTAACATATAATATATATATATATATATATATATACACATGTATATGTGTATTTTTATTATATATTCTTAAGAATTCTCAATAGTTATAGTTAAGAATTCTATCAAAAAATAGAATTTATATCGAGATGATTTAAATAAAGAATATTATGACCGATTCATAAAGAAAACGTAAATATGTAAATCCTTACTTTTTATATATACTTAATCAAAACTTATATATCTTCAAAAGATACAAAAAATTCAAGAAATCCTTATTAGAGAAGAACTATAAAGCTGTCAATTATGTCGAAATTCTGAAAATGAGGTACTTTACTTAAGTAACATTTCTTTCAGAGTATAAATTTAACAAAGTCGCTTCAATAATTTATGATGAGATTGTTGAATGCCGTGCGATGTTCTGCTCTTCGACAACGATGGACTGATTTTCTTGCAGTCGGAGAGGATCCTGAGGGAGCTTAACGCGGTCGGGTCTCAGGAATTCCGGCGAAGCGTGGACCACGGTGTAGTATTACATGAAAGGGATGCTCGTTATGTTTTGAGACGCGCATCCCCCAGCGGGATAAAAGCCGGCGACTGCGCCGTCGCATAACCGGTGACCCGACAGACAGAATTGTTTTTCAAATTAATTTGTCAGAAATAACGGCTTATTGTTTACCGACGGGCGAGGCTAATTAAAGTAGAGTAGGCGGCGACTGCAGAAAGATGCGAAGGTAAAGCGTCGGCGTTTCTTTGGTAGACCGGCCATATTGTTACGCGGAACTTCTCTGGGAACTAAGTCGCTTGCTTTTCCACTCTTCTCGTTTTCTTCGTGCGGTATTCTCTGAAAGGAAATATCCTTCAGCGAGAAATAAAGTTTGCACACTGAAAGCACCTCAGCGCTAAGCGCGTTTGACTCGCATTAATTAACGGGCTTTTCCGCAATCTGGATGTCGATTCCTTGGATTTTGGTTTATTCAACTCCTCGATTATCTGCCCATTTCCACGAAAAATTTGTTGCACGAATAAATTAAGGAACTTAAAAAAACTTGTAGTTCGTACAAAACTAATTTTGTTAAAATAAATAAATAATTATTATATAATTTATAATGCAATCACTGAGAAAAAAAAAGTCTAGTAGGTAATAACTATCAAACGTATTTTGTTGAGAGTATATTGGCGCGCGATCTATACAATTTTT